CTTCGGGGTGTGTTGACTGCTACGTGAGGAAGGTGAGATGACGTGAAGCTTTTTGGCAGGCAAATAACTCCGAATTAAACCAAAATAATTCAGTGCTGGCCCTGCTCCAGCAAACACATTGACGCTGCCGCCCAGTGCTGCAGATAGCGGTCAGCCTTGTCACCCTTCATACAGATGAGGTTATGTGTGAGCCTCAGAACTTCGGGCTTGTCACCTTTAATACGGATGAGGTTAGGGCTGGTGGCATCAAGCCCTTCCCGCAGCAGAAATGGTTTCGGTGTCCATGGTCCCCAGTTTGCCTGTTCCCACAGCGCCGATGTCTTTGCAGTGCTGACTAATTTCCACAACACTTAAGCCAATGGTTTTCAAACGGTCTCTTGTGCTGTGTGTAAGAAATGTTTTGTTTTTTTAAAGAGCACTTTCAGAAAACAATGGTTTTTGGCAAGCTCTGCTAGAGATTCTAATGCTCGTGGGCACTAGCAAAGCATAGAGTAATAATCAGGTAGACCACTTGAAACAAAATACCCCAGCAACAGCAATAGCAGTATCCAACTCTCCAAAAATATTAGAACGAATAAGTGTCCTTTGTTTGATATAAACCGCAATAATTAAAATCTGCTCTCCTGTGAGATCTACAGCAGGTGTGTATTGTCACTTGCAGAACAGGAGACAATGACCTCAATCCAAATAGCATAATGCAAACACCTTAGCCTGGACAGCTAGTTCTAAGCCAAACAAATTGTCATTGAGGCTGAAAAATAATATCTTTTAACTTAGGTTTTCCCCTTATAAACCCTCTCCTACTGTCGGACTCTTTGGAATAGGCAGAAGTAAGTAGGGTTTTAGTTCTTCTCCAGCCATGTTTCATTTTCATCACTGGATATTGCAGTTTCAGGTGTATCTACAGAGGATTTCATGCATAAAGTTAAGGAGATTATTCTTAATAAAAGGTACACATTTCTTTATTTTTGAGCTTCTAGTCTGCTGTTTCATGGGTGACATTTCTCATTAAAAGATGAAACTTAATATCAAACCTTTAATTATAGACTCAAGTCATCCATACATGTACATAATTTAGGCATAAATATAAATTCTTTTGAAGGCATGGGCCCCTTGTAATCCTATAAGCAGTATATTTCACAAATTACAGTATTGGAAAGGTGCTCTCATCAGCACATTTTGCATAGAAAAACACTTGCAGGGAATGGCTAAACCAGTGTGGCAAACAATTATATATAATATATATTTATACATGATACTTTCATTTTAGTTCTTTTTTGTCACAAGTCTCTATGACTGCTTTGGGTTATATCAAGAAGGAGATCATAATCCAAGCAATATCCTAAGATTTCTCATAGATGTTATTCTGATATTCAAGCTGCATATATAAAACCTGAAGTGACAGATGATTTTTAAAGGAATAAAGGCACTCAGAAATGAGTATTGTCACCGAGTAGAACTTTCAACACCCACTAAATGCCTCACATAGCACATACCTACAGACTAGGTGCCTGAGTGCTTAAAAGGTCAAGTTCCAAGTGTTGTCAAGACAGAGAAATTGATAATCCACTCTTGCAATCTTTCTGCTCACTTCAAGGCTCTCTGGGTAATTAATGTGTTGTTTTTGTGTGAACACGATCTCATAATCAGCATTTCTGAAGTCTACTGCAGTGTGATAAAGCCTCAAAGGATGTGCTTTTTCCTTTAGATTTCATAATGTTAAATAATGTTCTGTTAGACAAAGTCTTATCTTCTAAATTTTAAACTAAGGCTTTTTCCTTGTAGCCAATTGGAAATTAATTAAGCTTTTGTGGAATGGATCTTCCTGGCTGAACAAAGGAATATGTGCTAAAACTAGCAAAGTCTTGTTTGCCTTGAAACAATGGAAAATGACAGGGGGTTTTGTAAGTATTTTGCCTTGATAACTTTTGCTGTTCTGTCACAGGACTTTGTATTTGATATTTTGCCTAAATTCCCAGCTTATGGACTCATGTATTTTCTTTATACTCAACTTTAACTTGAAAATTAATTTCTAGTCCTTCTTCTTACAGACAGTTCTTAGGTAAAGAGGTAGATCTGCTCTACAGGATAACCAGCCTGTAGCAAGGAGCAAAAAGAAAACATTGTTCAAATTTTATTTGTTTAAAATCTTACATATTTTGCAATTTTCTGTTATCTTTAAGACTGTGTTCGTTGCTCTGTCTCAGTAGAGCTTGACAGCTGTGACATTTTTCATGAAAAGTCAGCATGTGTATCTCAGCAGCAAGGGAAAAAGAGAACTAATTTTTTTTTTGAGGGGGGGCATTTCTGTATCTTTAAACAGGAGGAATTCATTTTCTCTAGTGTTAAGATAAACTGTGAGAAATCAGCTAAGAAACCAACATCACTTGTAATTTGGGCCTGTCTGACTGGGGGAATATTTGTCTATAAACAAATAAGCAGCAAAACCTCCATAGATGGTTATGGATCCTGCTGGGGATTTTGAATAACAAAGTAACATTTCAGAAAATATTTTGGTGAAAATTTGTGTTTAAAACCCTGATTTTTTTCTCAGCTTGCTGAAACTCCTCAGTGGTTTCCTATCAGCCAATTTTCCTCTCCCCCCGTTATTTTTGAGTGTCTCAGTTACTGTGTAACTGAAAGCCTGGTTTGTTTGTACAAGGAAACCTGATTTCCCCAGGTAATTTATTCTAGGAAATGGTGATGTCTGGCACAGCTAGGGAGAGCAACACTTTGTGTCCTGGCTCCAGCAGGTACAAAGGGCATGCGTGGCAGCCTTGTTATTGATTACCCATAAAGAAAAGCTGTGTTTCTGTGGGCACCAGAGGCTGTCACACCACCAGGGGACATCTGAGCAATAACGAGCGCCAGGTGTTTGCTGGATCCTTCATTGCACTGGGAGATAGGTGAGCAGAGATACTGCTTAGCCAGGCTGCAGAAATATTGGGGGCTGTGCTCTTTCTCTAGGACCTCCTGTGCTCAGAAGATGAGTTCTTGTCATGGGATTTTATTCCTTTGTCCGGAAAGGATTTTTGCCTAGATGAACCTCACTTAAATAACAAGAAAGACGGAAATACAACAGCTGCTGCTGACAAATGCCTCTGAATGCAACTCTTCTGTCAGATCTCTGCTTTGCCTTTGCTGTTATACTGTACAGTATCACTGAGCTTCAGAGTGTCTTTCACACACCTCCATATGGTGCTGTAAAGTGAAGTCCATAAAGGAACAGACCGCACATTTCTAACGACTTCACTAAACTTAATACAAGAAATGTTTCCTTCCCGTAACAATGACCTTTAAATGTTAACTGGCTAAAAAAATAACATTGTCCTTATTTAAAAAAGGGCAAAATGCGACTCTTGGTGCTTGATTGTGTTACAGAATAACAATTTTGGTGCTGCGGGGGCCCAATTCCTTTGCATTAAGTTTACAACAGTGCTTGCTTCCTAATTTATACCAGTATGAAAGAAGGCCTTTAATTTCCCTAAGAGCTACTTATGTCATCTGTCTTTTGAAAATTACAGTCACATTAAATTATATTTCTAGCATATTGCTCTTAAAATCTGACTGTCATTTACCCATATTTATAAACATATATACAAATTTAAAATCACTACATTCCAACTCCCTTCTTTTATTTTCACCTTTTAAACTGACTAAGCTAGATATGCCCTTTGGGGTCTATAAGAATGAATCATTTTTATTATTTTTTTTCTCTCTTAGACAGTAATTACAGGGTAGTATGCTGTCTCTGGTTTTTAATATTATGGTGCCATTTTAATCCAAGGTGCAACACCATTAACTTCAACAGAGTTACACTAGCAATGAATTTGTCCCCAGGAGGCTTTTCCAAATGTTCACTTCTTTCCTTGTGATTACCCAGAGGAATGGAGAAGAAGAAGGCAAGACAGAGGACCCTTTGATAGGAGGAATGTAGTTCAAAGTGAAGTCTTGTTACTGCCATTCATGGTGCTCCATATGTTCCTCATTTGGGGTGGAGGGGGGTTAGACCCCGTGGGGCACACATGCTGGGGCTGGGGGGCAGGCAGAAGTTTAACATAGCACATCTGGTGCACAGGTTGGTTATGTCATTTCCTAGATGTAGGTACTGTACAAATTGGAAGGAAAAGAAAAAAAAAAAAAAAAAAGAAGATAAAAAGTGGGAGGAATATTCAGGCACTTTAAATGTAGTTCTGTGGAACTGCCTGAAAGTGGAGTAGCCAAACACTTAGATATCAAACTCATCATGATCATCATGCTGTCTCAACTCCAACTCAGATGCTTTTTAGATGTCAAGTAATTCTGCAAGTGGGGATGTGTGAATCAGTGCTACCATGGATTACCTATTGTTAAGAGAGTTGCAAAATATAAAGAAGGTACTTGCAGAATTTTCTAGCACTAGATTTTATTCATACGCAATTTTCTTTTACAGTTGGATATTTAATCTCAGTTTTGTCTCATTTCTTTTGTCCATATCTAGTCTAAAACATTCGACTCCTCTGCAGTATGGAAGCACCAGCTTGTAAGTTAAATACAAATTAGTAGCACCCATCTGAGTTTGGAAGGGGAATGGAGAGCATTTCCTCTTTGCTGCCAGGGAGCAGAGAGGGACAGGAGGGTGGCATGGCCGGCAGGGTAGGGGCCCATCCCACAGCCCCGAGCAGGGCTGGCCAGGCTCGGCAGCTGACGGAGCTCAGAGGGGCAGACAAGTTCACAGGGATGAGGCAAGTCCAAGGCCAGGCAGAAATCCAGGTCAGCACTCGGTCACTGCCCGGATGAACAGGCACAGCAGGGCTGGGCAGGGACCGAGGGCCCCCACACCTGGGCCGGGGGGGTCAGGGCTGGTCGTGCCAATTAAGGGCTGTCAGTGCATTCAGGGCCCCGACATGCACATCTGGTAGCAATTGCTGCTGTGTTTAAATCAGAAACTCAGATCCTTGCAAAGCCCAGGGTCTAGCAGGGGGAAGTGGTTATGCCTTTCAGCAAAGGTGTAGCGTTTCTCCTGGGTTGGACACTTGATGCAGTTTGCCTGTTGCACTCCAATCAGTTGCCTTGGATACAAAGTCAAATATTCAACCTCTAAATAGGATACCTAGGCCTCCTGTTTTACTGCCAGACTCCCTTTTCAGAAGGGTGACATTCTGTGGGCACTGGAGCATTGCCCTGAGGCTCCCGTGCTCACTCTGGGGCCAGGTCTGAAACTGCCCTTAGATGTGCCATGAAGCCCCTGTCCCCACCTGTCCTGTCCCTGTGCAGAGTGTGAGCATGGGTTCAGGTTCTGCTAAAGGCACTGAAATAGAACAGCATTTCAGGGTCTTGCTCCCTCTCAAGGTTGAGGTCATTGGAACTGGTCTAAGTAATGCTCCCTCTGTCATTTACTGAACATGGCTCTTCCCAGATGGTTTTACCAAGAAGCTGTTAGCACAGGAACTGGTCTCCCTTCTTTCTCTTGTAAGGAGAGTTCCTGAATGTTGTTTACAGCTCCTCTTAAGGTAAAGGGCCATTAGAGAAAGCAAGAGCTGAGTAATAGGCCAGCTTTGTACTAACTCAAATTGAGAGTGGTTTTTTGCTGTTAAGTAACAATTTTTAAAAGTTGCAAATCAGAATTTTCCAGTCATACCAATCAGCATTGAGACCACACTGTTCTACAGTGAAATAAGGTATAAGTGAATCAGCTGAGCTGCAGAGAAGCCTGTAGGAATTTGCAAAGATGGTCTGAGCAGTCTGCTCCCTGTTGGGAGCACTCCTCTGTGCATCTCTGCATTGTGCCTTGCCCTACACAGAACCTGGAAACTCTCTGACAAGGAACTATCTTTTCAGTTTATTTCTGTGCTGTGTGGAGCTTGATGCTTTTCCGGGGGTCTGGGCCAACACTGCTCAGAGCAGTAACAACTCTCCCTCCTGTTACTAAATTAGGACTTGATATCATTCTTTCCAGCAAACAAGGGTTCCTAATCTTTCAGGAGATTATGTATTGGCTGCCACCCCTCTGTACCCCTGCCCTCCCGGGGCACCCCTCTGCCTCAGATGTCAAGGCACAGCATCCTTTCCTCCCTTAGTTCTGCTGTAATTTCTTCTCCATCTTTCCCCAGGCTGCTGCAGCAGTTTCCCCTCCTGGACCATTTCCACAGTGCTGTTGTTGCTGTGGCCCTGCTCACCCTTCTCGTTTCAGGTCTCCCTTTCCTGCTTTCTTGAGTTGTAGCTGTTTCTTCCCCTTCCCCACTCCACCTGCAGAGCTCTGCTGTGGAGGCAATCAGCTACTTAGCAGGGCAGTGCTCAGCTGAACTTTCTGATGCTGGTGGGGAACTAGTGCAGAAGATCTTACTGACAGTCTAAATTTTAAAAATATAGAGATATTATCATGGAAAATTCATAGTTCTGATGGAGCTTCTGATGGAGGCTCATTAAAAACAAGCTAAGAAAATCTCACATATAAATGAAAAGCACATAGTAGATCGTGGTGATATGCTGAATATGATTGTTTCTTATTATGCTATGGCTGCCCATTTTAAGAATAATACACAGTTATTTTCTTGGTCTTAAATGGTAGTGTGGGGATATCACAAACCTCTCAAGTAAAAACTTTAATTAAAAAGCAAACACTAATCTCCAAGCAGAAGCATCTGCCGCATATTGCAAGATAAGATTTCACCAACCTGAAGAACTAAGCACGATTCTAATTAAATCAGGGGAAAAAAATGATGAACTAGATATACGATTTATTTAAGGATAGCAGTTATATAAGATATCAAAGATCTCACGGTTGCTATCTGATGGGAAATGTTGCTGCCAGATCTCACAGACTATTTCCAGGGAGTGAAATCCTTGTTCCACTGGTTCCAAGTACTGTTGTGATTTTGCATTCCATGGGGTCAGGACTTCGTGGTGGCTCTGTTGGACGTGGGAGCCTCATTGGCCCTGTTGAAAGCTGCAGATGATCCAGCAAGGAAGCAACGTGTTCCCTTATCATGAGGAACCACCACACTGCGTGAGCTGCTGCTCTTCCAGTGAGGCACCAATACAGAGTCCTGACTATTTATGGTTATTTAAGGTCCCAGTGCACCTTTTGAAAATTAAGTCTCTTAATCCCTGTATGCTGGCCAAAATCTATTTTAAGTGATGCCACTCAGCATTTCCTGTATTGTTCCAGATGAAGATTTTTGGCCATTGCATCCTGTTTAAACTGCATGCTGGGCTCCTCTGTTTTGGAGCAGCTGATATTTTCCAGAAACACCATGTTGCACTGATGTGTGAAGTGATCTCTGTATCCCTCCTTGTGCCACAGGAATGGAATGAGGATTAATCAATTATGACCAAATCATGCTCCCAGTGAAGTCAAAAGAAGGGTTTCTTTCCATGGGTATCATGGGGGCCAAGGCTGGCTTCTGTTTGGATGCTATTGCTTTGAGATGCCTGCATGTAAAAACAAAGGAAAATGCAAAGCATCACCTTGTTGAAGGTGTCTGTATAGTGAGAATTCCTTTAGCTGGAGATGAAAATGCATTTTAACAGCTGTTTCCTCAAGAGTTTAGTTACTTGTCACAGCAGGCATTATTGTGTTGGAGGAAATTCTGGTTTGTTGAATGTAGCTTTAAGTATGTGGTGCTGGCTGGCATTTGTGGCTTTGCATGTCCTGTGCATTCAAAATATGCTTTGTTATGCTTCCAGGGCTGGCTCCTGCTCTTTCCCAGAACAGCTCATGCTGTGGAATTGTATCTCAAAAGCCATGTTCTTAAATCCAGCTACAGTTGAGCCTTAAATATTGGAAAAACATTGAATACTGAACAACAATAGCTGCAGGTTATTCTCTATGAACAAGTGTTAATTATTTCGGGCAAAGAAACACAATCTAAAAAAGAGCAATTCTGGCTAGATTCCTAGGAGACTGTAAAATATTTCTTGCTTAGATGTTCTGTCACATACCACTTATGATGTCACATTTAGAACTGTAAATCCATTTACAAGTTGGACAAATGATATCACTGAAAAACATTTTTGGAGGATCACCTAACTTCTTCCATGCAAATATAATAATAGTACATATCTTGTGCAAATATAGGAAAGAGTGGTCATGAACTATTTTGGGAAAAGGGTACTCACCAGATGGACACAGAAAGAATATTCAGTCAGAGAAGCAGAAGAACAGTAATAAATATTATTACAGGTGAGTATGGATGAAGATTAGCCTATTCCTGCATATAAATGATCAAAATAAACTTAGAAAAATGTTGGTACATTCACAACAGAAATTGTGCTCTTCTGCAAAGAAACAGTAAATGAATAGAGGACAGTAAATGAATATGGATGAATGTGTCATCCATACTTTGTAGTGTTGACTTCATTTTCTCAAGTATGTAGAAAAGGTTTTGATTTGTGTATATTGATATTTCTCTGTTGGCTAAAGACCAAATTAAAACAAAACACAGTTAAAAGCTTTCCTGGAAGTTGTAAGTGTTCTGCTCCCCTTTGCTCAAGTCCCATGGTGTTAAACTGCATTGTTTGGTGTCATGTCCCATGGTGGTGCACAGTGACCCCTCCCCTGGCTCCAAAGCCCAGACTGGACTGTGGATGAAAAACTTGGTTAAACATTACCCACGGCTGCTGCTGCCTGCCATCCTTTTCCTTCTAAACCCAGGAAAGGACTCTGCATCTAGAGAGTGATGCTCTGTGTGCTTGAGCTGCAAACTGTCTCAAAAATGTTTGGGTTTTTAAAAAATATTTTCATTGATTAAAATTTTGCTCTGGTTTTACAAAGAGTATGGATTTTATATGTGTCCCAAGGACCATGACATTTCTCAAGAAAAGTGGAATCTGTGCTTACCATTACATACAACAACTTAATAACTTATATTATGTAGAATTTTGCAAGATTGAATTTAAGAGTGTTGGCAGTAGATACTTTCTGAGAAGAAAAATACTGAACTGAAAAAATAAAAAAGCAGTTATGTTTATTTAACTGAGGGATAGCATTTATATATTTTGTCATCCAGGTTTTGTTGCAGGACAAAGTAATATTGGGTAGAATTAGGAATGCAGAAACACTCCTTGAACTATCCAGGAAGATACCCAGCTCAACTTGCAACCCAATTGAGGCCTTTAAAATGCATTTTCTCATCAAGGTGTTCCTGGTATCTTTCTTTGTGGGAGCTGTAACCTTGTTATTCAATTGTCAAATTGCTGTTCTTTACTTTTTGAGATCTGAGATTTTAGTGTAGTAAAACCAGCATGATTTGTGGCCCTCTAGCTTCACTTTTATTATGATTAATTATTGTAGTTTAGCAAGACTTAGACAAAAAAAACCAAAAACACTGGTATAAGTCAAGGTCTTTAACTTTTCTTTAACTTTAATTGAAAGTGATATAAATTAAGGTCAGTAGGGTTTGTTTATTTGTGGTTTATTTGTTTGGTTTGGTTGTATTGTTTTTCTTTTCTAATGCATTTTGGAAGCATAAAGACATTACCCTGCTTCTTAAATGCATCTCAATTTCTTTCCATAGGACAGTCTGCAAGGTGGAAAGCTCAATACTTTTTCCAGACAGTGGTGCAAAATACAGCTTTTGTGATGACAAACAGTTTTCTTCACAAATGAAAATTATCCCTGTTTGTGAAAAACACCCATAGTCCTGGGCCTTGCCAACTTGCAATCTCTGAGCCAGATCTGACTTCCCTAACTCAAGATATTTTTTACCTTTAACTGGAGGAGGAAAACCTTGTGCTGTGGTGCCCCTCGTGTCTTTAAGAACTCAGGTGAGTTGTTGGGGTACTCACCACTACACCTCAACCATCAGGTTTTGTAAATAGGCTTGAAACCCTGTGTGGCTTCGTCCCCACCTGGCACCGTCTGTGCTGCTCAGTGCTTGGAGAATTCATCCAGGCAAAGAATCCACACACCTCAGCCCACGAGAAAATACAAAAACCTTTGGGTATTCCTGGAAATGAATCAGACCTCTGCTGTGCCCAGGAAATGTCTTCCCTTTCCAGTTGAACAAGCAAGGGGCTGATTACAGGTTAAAGTCCACCAATGAGTGATGCCCAAAGAAACACAAAGAATGAGGTATTTTGCACCAGTCTGAGGTACAAATTCCCACAAGCAGCCAAGGCAGCAGTTCTGGAAAACAAAAATGCTCAGAAATGTCTGGTCTCAGCCTCCCCTTCTCTATAGAGTTTCCTTGAGAGGGAGACAATGGGAACACAGTGATGAGTGACCCTTGGAGGTAGCTGGGGGATAAGGACCTGCCTGCTGGCACACACTGACCCTGGGAGAAGGGCAGGGGGGAAACAGGATGACTTGGAGAAGGACAGGCTGAAAAAGGAAAAATAAACCACAATTTTCACTACAATTTCCAGGAACATCCCACATTTCCTTCTCATTCCCTCCACTGGCTCCTGCAATGAGCCTAGGGGGATGTTTTCCACCTCCCCATCTCTTTCTGCCCCCATGCAGCAGGACCCAGAGCAGACACTGCTGCTGTCCTGGAGAGCCTGACACAGCCAGCACAGCACAGTGGGCAGATTGGGAAGGCAGCATTGAAAATGCCACTCTGTGGTTGCTTGGAAATGAAATCCAACTTTAGTATTATTTCTGAGCTTATATTTTTGAATCCCAAATTCCATCTGACGGAAGAGACGGGTATTTAAACAGATGTCTGCAATTTCTTTAAAAAATAGAGATTGAGTTACAGATGGTAGAAAGGGCCTGAGAATTAAAAACTCCCGAGCTACAAGGAAATTTACATGTGAGCAAAATGTTTTGCTGAAATGTATGGTCATACAATTCTGCATGTTTGAAAATTAAGCTTTTTTTTCACCAAAAATGTGAGTATCTTTTCCCTTCTCCATTATCTGTGTCTCTGCTGCAGCCTTGGCTGTCACCATCATTGTGACAGCCAAGTTGCAATATGAGGGTCCTGTTTCTAACAGACAAGACACACAGTTCTTTCCTTCTCCTTTCTCTTGTATAATTTGGCCTGCCAGGACCAACAATTTTGATCAGAATTAGTTTAAAAGAAAACGAATCTACCCCGTTTGCATAATTGGTGCCTGATTGCTCTAACTCCCATTTTATAAAATGCAAATAAAAGGAATTTTATGATATAAGCCTGGAAGGAAACCAGAATCAAAATCTGTATTTGCAGATGAAATTGAACCTTTTTTTCTTCTCTGGGGATTTAAAAAGAAAGCCCCCAAAATAAATTTTGAGTGAAAAAGCTGATAGCTTCTTAAGTGCCATATGAAATGCAAAGCCCTGCATATTGGAAATGAAAAATTGAACATATTTGGTACAGTTTTGAGGAGCAAGTCAGGATCTATGTCATCATCTGGGAGATCTGTACATGCCTTTGAGCAGCCTTATGAAGATCTTCACTTATGCATGTGTGCTCCAAAAAGCAGTATTTTTGTGCATATGAACAAGTAAATAGACTCAAATACAAGCTGTGAGGACACTCACATGCAGCAGTCACCACCTGCAGAGTCCCAGTCTGTCCCCTGCCAAACCAGCTCGAATCAGCATGATTCCAGAGCAGAGCAGCAAGACCCACTACATACAGATGACCAAAGTTATTTCCTTTACAGCAGAGTGGACATAATCAAAGTGTCTACATCAACGAAAACATTAAGAAGAATTGGGATTATCTGTTTTTCTTACCTAGTAAGTACAAAAAAAAAGATCTGATAACGGAGCAAGGTTTGCTCCTACTGTGGCACCACCTCTACAAATATTCAGTGTGCACTCCTGGATGTGTCCCAAGCTGGATTTCTAGCAGACCAAAGTACAAAGGAGCCTAGAGGATCTGTCCTGTTGTGTATTAATGCTGACAGATTCGTTCTGACTCTGCCAGTGGTCAGCATCTTATACCCCAGCAGCCTCTTATACTCTTACAGCCTCTTACAGTTCTGTAGCCTTCAACTCCTTGCTGGGTGCTCACATCCAGGCTGGAGTCCTGGTGGTGACTGCAGGCCATTGTTCTGGTTTTGCTGGCTTTCTTTATATGTCCAGGTCTTCTCTCTCTAAGATCTTATTTGAAATTATTTTTGGTTGGCTGCATTTGTCTTTATTCAGAAGGCAACATATACCACAGTGTGACAATGACAGTTCTTTGCATTTACATAAACATCTGCTTGGATTTGGAACTTGCATTTTTCACATGATAACTCTAAAAAAAGTGAAGTACAAACTGGGCATGAACCTTCTATGACTCCGGTTAGACAGGTGCTTCCTGGCACTAAGTAAATATAAGAATAAACCGCACAGAATAATAAGATAACATGCAACCCATTTTAAAATAGATTGAGAAATTGCTTTAAAAATACTTTTTCCTTTTTATTTTTTGCTTTTAAAGAGACAGAAAATAATCCTATTATTCTGGCTTATTTCTGAAGGAGACTGGAGAGGAAACTTTTTTCTTAGAAATCAGATGTCTTGCTGGAGAAATTGAAGGTCTCATGTTTATTGTGAGCTCTGACATTTTAATTGAAAGGACAAGAGCGTTTATTATTTTAAGCAAATAGATCTGTTGTCCTAATTATTTATTAGATATTAGATTAAGTAGGTTTAAAAAAAAATACTGCAAATCAGAGTATTTTCAACATAATTATTGAAAATCCTTTCTATTCTCAGTTGCTTCACCTTTAACATTTTATATCCAGTGATATCATAATTACATTAGTTCTCCATTTGTCAGGAGACTAAAAAAACTAATTCTCTGTTTCAAATGTAAAAATCAAGAATTCCCCCAAGCTTATTTTGGTTAAACTCCAGGATAACATTTAAAGATGTTTAACCATTTAAAGAAAATGGTTAGTTATTTGTCAAAGCGGTAAAAAAAGGGAAATGGCACAGTCCTGCTGGATTAAAAAAATGCAGATTTCATCAGTCTACTTGGAAAAAAGAGAAAATCACAGTACTGAATATTTTATTTAATACTACCTGCCATGGGAAATAGAGAGAAATCTACCTTGAAGTGTAATAGTTTAAAAAGACTGAACAGTAGGTTCATTCTGCAATAAAATTACATCTAAAATGAAATAGAGGGGCAGAAGACAACAATAGTGAAAACCAAACAAAAGGAGAGAACAGAAACACAGAGAGAGGAAGAGCCCAGTGAGCTCTTTGCTTTTCAAAATGCTGGGTACATAGTCCTGATTGTTAGATCAGCTTTCTGAAAAGGATATTCACCCTGTATCTAGGAATCAAAAAATTGTATCTTTAGGAGGCCTGTGGGAATAGGAGAAATTTCTCATCTAAAGAAGTTAGACCCATTTACAGAATGTGGATATTTTTATTCCTCAGCTTGAATCCTACCAAGGGATCCTGTGCCTTCAGTATTTTAAGTGTTCCTAAGCGTGCCACAGCAATAAGGGCACACTTGTGAATACTAAATGAGGACTGAATTACCCTCCCTTACACATCCTGTGCCTGAGCCAGCTCGGAAATGAAAGATCATGTCACATATGAAGATTGAGAACTGATTAATTGTGATAGAATATTTATAGTTCTCATTTCCAGAGAACTGAAAATACCTTAAACAACTGGAATACTAAATTACACAAAAATAATATAAGTCAATGGGAACTATACACAAACTAGGACACAGGTTCAAGATGAGAGCTGTCTGTAGAAAAAAAATTTTTAAAAATCAATATTGATATTGTTAAGTGGTTTGCATGAGATCTGGGCCTTACTCAAGTCCATGGGACTTTCACCATGGATTTGAAGTGAGGACAGGGCTTCATCCTCTTTCTGGCAGAGAAAAAGAGGACCACAACAGTGTGCCACACTTCAGAAGAAGGAGTATCTCATCCATTTGGAAGAACAGTGGGAATTTCAGATGAAGGGACTGCACTTATCCCACATATGAACAGAAAACTGGGTTAAATTGTTGTCTGCCAGGGAAAATGTCTCAGGGTACTGAGGGACTAAAACCCTGCATGTCTTAGAAGACAGTTTTGCAAAGAGCAATAATGAAGTGGGAAGACCTTATGAACAAAAGCAATATACAAAATCTTGTATCATGTGAATTTCACAGGCAATTATGCTTCCATAAACTTAAGCTTTATTTTTATAAATGGGGTTGAAAGCACAGTCTTGAATGCGAGATTGGAAAAAAAATTAAAACTTAGAAAATGCTAAGGCAACTGCAGTTCCAATTGCCAATTCTCATCATGACACACATAGTGAGTGCATTACCCCATTTTGATCCAATTCCATTAGATACTTGTAAGGCTCATGCAGCACTGGTTCATAAAACACAGCTTTTGGATACTCACCAAAATGAGCTAATTAGAGAGGACCAAGACAACTTCTCTCTGATGAATGGAGATTTAACAAAATGAGGTAAATGGTGTAAAAACAGTGTTATAAAATGCTCAGATCCATGGTGAGAGTTTTTTCCACAAGATTTCTATGCTGCTGTTTTTACCCTTAGAAAATGTCACCCCTCACTGTGTCCTCTAGAAGACAGAATGGTCACATCAAAACAATATTCAAGGATGCAGGTCATCATGAACATGAAAGGTTTGTCACTTTTGCCATGGCTACCTCAGAGGAAATCAGAGGCTATCTCACCTCCAGCTGGCAGAACAGGACATAGGAAGTTTTACAGCAGTGATTAGGTAAGGAGTTAAGTCTCCTTCTACACCCGCAGTAACCCTCTGATTGTGGTAAAGAGAGCAGGTACATGGGAGAGGTGTCATCCTACAGCCTTGTGACAATGTCTGTGTCATTCACCCTGCTCCTTTTTCCCTCCAATGACATGGACTCTGGGTGCATGGAACTGAAATTCCATTTCGGTGTTCCAGACATCGGGAAATAGTTGTCTGTCAGAAAAGGGGTTCCACTGTCCACAGCTGGAAGGAGCATGGTTGCTGGCTAAGTTTTTCTTTCAGGATTTCCATGATGTCCCAAGGTAATACTAGGGACACCCCCAGTTATTACACATGAAGTAAAAGCAAGAAAATATAAAACCTTTCTCACAACTTCTAAACTTCCTTGGAAAGAAAGGATAAATCAACGTGAGATTAAAAAAAAAAAAAAAGATGAAAATAATCACTCTTGATGGCAGAGTATTAATTATAACTTTGTGTGGGTGAAGTTAAAAGCCTGTCTTATGTGTGAATTGGTCGTATTTTCTCCATGACAGAGTACGTGTGTCTGTGTACACAGTCCTGTGAACACTCGAACGAGCAGGTCCACGGCTCTGCTATGGATTTGTGTCCTGTGATCGCCGGTCAGATGCCAGTGTCACCCTCGCGGCTGGGTAGCCATTACACGGCTCTTCCACGCTAGTCCAAATTTTCCTTCCCTACTTCGGAATCGTCCCCCTTTATTTTCACGAAACCTACATAATTCTGGGACCGTGCGACACACTTGCAGCGAGGCTAAGAGCCAAAGGAGACCCAGACCTCCACATTTCTGGGCAGAGCAGGCGGGAGCTGGCTGCGTGCGGGGCCGAACAGGGCAGAGCCGGGCCCGCGGCTCGCAGGCTGCGCCCCCACGGCCCCGGGGATTCGGAACGCGGGGAGGGCGTGACAGCGGGAGAACCCGCTCGTGGTTCACCGGGCATCTCCCGGCGTGGCATCGCCTCCAGTGGGAAGCGCATCCCCGGGACCCGCGCTCGGAGCCCGCGCCGCGGAGCCGGGGCTGGCGGCGGGGGATGCCGGTGCGGGACAGCCGGTCCCGGACAGCCGCTCCCCGGGGAGGGCTCACCCCTCTCGCCGCTGAGGCTCCCCGGCCGCGGGCGGGGCCGCGTGGGGACACCCCACAACTTCACCCGAAGTTTTCTTGCCGCCTCGTCCCCGTTCGGCGGCTCGCCGTCCCCCGGCGAGGGCACGGTGAGGACGAGACCCCGCACCCCACCGGCTCCTCGCCGCGCCCCGGGGCACAGCCCGCGCAGCGCCGGCGGCCGGGCCCGGGGCGGGGAGCGGAGCGGCCCCGGGCGCGCCCAGCCCCGCCCCGCCCGCCGCCCCCGCGCTGCCGCCTGGCAGGGCGGCGGGTGCCGCGGGAGCTGCTCGGTGCCGCCGCCGCCCGGGAGGGAGGTTATGTAAGGGGGGAGGGAGGCGGCGGGAGGAGGAGCAGGACGGCTCTCGCCGCCGTGCAGCCGCAGCCAGCCGGGGCGGCCGCATGTGCGAAGTGGGGACGCGGCCGCCGCTGGCCGCCGAGCGCGGGGAGCCGCCCGGGGGTGCCGCCGCCGCCGCCGCCGAGAGGTGCCGAGACATGGGGTGAGTCCGCCGGGCCCCGGCCCCGCGGGGCACCGCGTCCCGAGCCGCGCGTGGGCGCCGCTCCCGCCCCGGCCCCGCCGCAGGTGCGGAGCGCTGCCCGGAACGCGTTTGGTACGCGATTCATCACCGCCTCCCGCCCGCGCCGCCGGCGGAGCGGGCACGCCGCGGAGGAGCGGCACCGGCGGCAAAATCCCCGCTGGAAGGAGCGGGAGGAGCTCGGGATCCGCGGAGCGGGGGCCGGTGCGGGGCCGCGGGGCCGGTCAGCTGCGGGATGTGCAGCGAGTTCATTGTCAGATGTTCCACGCGCCGTTCTGCGAGAGCTCTGGCTGCTGGAGGCACACGGGAAACTTGCTTGAATTGTGCCAGGTGCTCTCTGATTTGTGTAAATATTTTTCCCTTTTAAATTTTTTTTTAATATGCCAGGAGTCTCTGACCACA